AACATTTAAAAAATGAAGCTTTTTTTTTGGCTTCAAGATTCCCCTTTATCTACCAGCTTTAAACACATCAAAAGACGCTTCTAAATTTCCAGTGCTGGTTGGGACAATTAAAAATATGAAATTCAGCCATGAAAATAAACCAGAAACTAGAATCGGAAGTAATCTTAGGGGAAAACTGTACAAAATAAAGCTGCGCTGATAGGCGATATACTGTTTGCTATTATAATGGTAAATTTATAACTTAAGGCTTTGGCAAAATGTCAAAACTAATTTTTCAAACCCCTTTTTTTCCAACTTGATGATGCGAAAAAAAAAAAAGAAAACGGAATGGGAAGAAATATGATTATAACTGATGCTACAAATATGTTCATAACATTTACGGATACGATTACTGAAATTTGCATTAACTTTTATATTTTAGTAAATATCTGTAGATGACTTATGCAAGTGAATGGCAACAGTAGTTGTTAAAGTTCAGGAAAAGCACATTGTTTATATAGCTCTTTGTTTATCTGGAACCGTATTTACTCACCAAATAAAATAACAAACGAATTTTTTTTGCGATTCTTCAGAATCCTTACAGTTTTTAAATGCACATTCCCACATGATGCAAGTTTGCTGGTTAATGTTTTATATAACAAAACCTGTACACATCAATTGTTTCTGATTCGAAACGATCAAAAGTTTTCTTTGCAATCGCAGTTTCTCCATCAATTTTTTTTGCTGTTGATTTTTAAGCTGACACTATATTTCAAATGTTACTCAATAAGACGGTACTTCTGCTTATTCAGAGTGTAAACTGTACTGAACTACGCTGTTGAGTAACTGGCTCAATATTAGAAGACCTGTAGACTGTTGACGATGTATACCCCGTAATTCATGTCTCTGATGTCGATTATTGGATCTTCACCGTCAAAGATTCAGAAAGTCTATTTGAGAATTGAGAAGATGAAAGAAAAAATTTGTTATGTACTCCTTGTACTATTGTCACATATTGATATCAGTGTACGGCTAGTCGTTTATTTCCAAGAAGTTGTTTATGTTGAGTTTCTTTCACCAGTAATAGTTGATTTTGATCTAATTTTGATATTCGTCTAGTAGCTTGTCTCAGCTTATTATACTTCATATTTATTGGTTGGGATTACAGTGAAGTTTCTAGGCATTCTAAGACAGACTGGATTCTTCGAACTACGGAAATGCCGGCTTAGAATGTGTGAGTGGAATGACAGAGTTTTATAAGGTACTTAAATGTGGTTCCAAACAGTTCACAGTGTTGATTTTTTATTTTTATTTTTTTTTGTTCAACCTGTTGTGGTTGACCAATAGAAATTGTAATTGAAAGTTTTCTTGTATTGTGTATATCGGGCATATTTTAGTGGTCTGTTTTTTTATTTTCTATTTTCAGTGGTTTGTTTATTTCCCCGTTGTCTATTCAGTTTTTCATAATTTTTGTACTGCAATGGTGCACAATGATATGCCGTGAAAATTTTTTAGTAATTACCATTGTATGTGCAGTGAGTGCAACCGAAGACAATTCTCATTTTGTGGTCGGAAAATTTTTATCACCGTATCGGTGTCAGTTTGATGCCATTAGGCCAAAAAATTTTGTTGTACTTATTTTGGCTAGGTGGTTGTAAGACCTTGGTCACTTTTTTTACACTTTTTTTAATATCACAACCTAATAAGCGGGGCTTTAAGGCTTATTGAAAGTTTATTTCAACAGATTGATTTAGAAAAAATTTAAGATAATTAAAATAAAATAAATAAAAAGATAATTGGTAGAGTTTGGGAAAGAGTTTAGTTAGACAGGGCTGCTACTATAGTTCGTTATACCTCGATAGTTGCGATTGAAAAGATGAGTCACTTGTTGTTCGTAAAATTTTGGGTTACTTGTTGTTTAAGTGTGGCGTGATAAGCTTTGTTTGTATCTACTGGGTTTTTAGGATGCTGCTTTTTTATTTCTTACTTTTTTCTTAACAGTTTTTGATTGACAAAGGAGAAGTTTCCAAGGATGCTTTGTCACCAAATCCGTAAATTATCGACGTGTTTGTGCAGTAATAGAAAAGCTATATTTTCTTTCTACAGTCCCACCCTAGGTTCTAGATGCTGAAAGATCAGTTCGCTGCGCTGAACAAAAACTGTGATAGATGGACTCTAGCTGAGGATAGTAGCGTAAGTTTTAACTGAATATTCTTATACGCATAATTGTGACAGTTGTTTTATTTCAGCAGTATTAAGTAGCCAAGGAAGTTTCATTGGAGTTTTGTTTTCTTCTGACACTGTAAAAGAAAAGCATCCAAAATTTCGTAGTTTTCATATTTTGGAGCACTTGTATTTTTTCGCACCAGATTATCGCGAAATTGTATAAATTACCCCCCACCCATTGAACCTGCTGTATTCTTTTTGAAGAAGAAACGTGTAATGAGTTTAGTTATGCAGTTTAATGGATACACTGAACACATCGCTGCAAGCGCAATTAGCTGACGCTACTAGACGTCTGGAAGCAAGCGAGATCGAAGCCGTGAAAGCAGAGAATAAAGTTTCCCAATTAAATAACCGCGTTGCTCTTTGTGCTGTGAAACAATTTATTGAAAGCGTTAGTTTTAATAAGTGCGTTGTATTTACTGGTTTTACCAGTGAGCTTGAAGACTGTGACCGGATGTTTTTGCTTGGTAGTAATTTGCATGGCAAAAAGATATTGAAATGTTGAGGAAATATTTTTGCCAAGCCTTTGAATGATATTATTAAGTAAAATTATGGTTGAATATTTTGCTCTCTTTACGGTTTTAAAATTTTTTTATTCTTCAGCGTGTCTCCGATGATTACCCTGTGAACACGACGTCAAACACACCTCCCAAAACGGTAAGATTCCATCAATTACTTCTATTATAAAAAAAGAGTAGATTAATATCATTTACTTGAAAAAAACACTTTTCAATCCGTAAAGACTGCGTATAATAAAATGAATTTTTTTTTTTTAAATTTGCAATAAAACTTCCATTTAGAGAACACGTGGAGACCGACAGGAAGAAGCAGTTGAAAATGTTAAAGAGGCTGTGGCGTTGGGCTTCAAAATGATCCAAGAAAAATTCAAACGCATCGACATTAACGCGCAGGACTTTGAAGATGTTGATGACGTTTCGTTTCTCCCTGAGCCAGTCTTCGAGCCTTACGTATGATTTTTGAGGATCGCCTGTTGTAGCTATTGGTTTTATATCCAGCTCGCTTTAGGACCCCCATCTTGTGAGACCACTGCCTTTCATAATTGGTACTGAAGAATGGGCTGCTTCACCTACTGCAGGACTTTATGAACCTACCGCTAGTGTATCAGAGGTACTTTTAAAACCATTATTCACAGCGTTTGAAGTGGACTCCTGTTATTTACATCAGGAAATTAGTTTAGCCTAGATGCAGACCTGTTACTATTTTAATCAATTGAATCTGGTTGTTGCGAAAGAACTGCTGTTTTGACTTTTCATTATTCTAAATTAACTGGGTTGCTGACAGTTAGATCCTTCTTTATGGAATAAACTCATTTAAAATAAAACAGAAATGTATCAGTCTTGGGTAAATGTGATGTTTTTTTGTAATAATATATGTAGGAAGGTTAGAACTTCATATCCATTTGAATTTCGGCTAGTTTTATTTTTCTCTCTCTTTCTGAATTGAGCTTTTACGTTATACCCTTTAGTGTAAGTATTCGTATTTAGAGATGGGAAGTGGCGGCTGACTCATGAAGGATTTTAGCAGGATATTACTTTTGCTTACACTGAGTTTAATTTTCCTGAGTCATTTAGTTGGAAATTTGGCTCTAATTGATTAATGATTAGATAAAGCCGTTAGAAAGTTTCTCCAAACCGTTTATTTTTTTTAGGAGAAAAGTATGAATTACCAAGATTTTAGTTGGTAACTCTTCATAGAACATTATAATAATGTGTGTTTTTGAACTAGTAAAATGAATAAGTTCCAGAATCGCACTAAAGTTCAAATTGTTTGAAGGGCGTTAAACATTTTAGGGTCAAAATTTTCAAGATGTTAATTATAGTAATTATAATCAAAATAATAAAGGCTTTTAAAAACTATTTTTTAGTTTTGTTGAAATTTTTTGATAAATTATTTCAATGCGGTACAAATGAACTTCTCCTTTACTAGTTACAATTAATTTTGAGAAACTAAGTTTTTTTAAGGTAACCCTTAACATGTTATAATTTGCTTTGTAAACTATAGCTTCTGAAGTTTTTTGTTCTACACTGTCATTTACTTTCAATTTGTAGCTGGAATTTGCCATTAAAAGCTGTTTCCTAACAACCGCATTTGTTTATTTTTTAACATTCATGCAATGGTTGTAGGAAACTATGAAAGTTAAATTTACTCTAAGTTTAATTGCTGAATTTGGCGGCCTACTTAAATGCATTTTTCATCTGCTCAAGGGAATTTTGCATTTTATTAATTATTTGGTTAGATGGGTAAATTTGGATGGACAAAAAAATTTATTCCATTTAAGAAGCATGGAAAATCAGTTAGTTTTTTAAGCTATTTCTGCGAAATCGATTAATCAGTAGTGGTTCTTTACTTTTTTTTTTTTTTTTTTTTTTTTTTTT